ACAGAGAAAATTATTCAAGTTTACACTAATAGTTCAACAAAATTATTCAAGTTCACACTAATAATTTAGCATTCTTTCATGCACATTAAAATTAAAGCACCAGAGAAAATAAAAACAGATATTCTATTCTATTAGAAAAGTTTTGTTTGCACTTTTTCATTTTTATTACAAATAAAAAGGAAGTACAGCACTGCTTTACGGATCAAATTTTCTATAAATATAAATCATGAAGTCCCACTTTAGTGTACATTAAATACTCTTTCTAAAGAAAAACAAGAAAGCAGAATAAATGTAAATATATTAGAAATGTCTACATAACATAAATTACTTAAATGAACTGAACAACTGAGTCAGATTTCATCAGCTTCTATCCAACACATTGTTTGGTACATAATGGACATTCAGTAAATATTTGCCATCCAGCTGGGCTTGGTGGCTCAACCTGTAATCCCGCGCCTTGGGAGGCCGAGGTGAGTGGATTGCCTGAGCCCGTGGGTTCGAGACCTGCCTGGGCAACTTGGCGAGACCTCATCTCTACAATAAATCAAAAATCAGCCGGGCGTGGTAGCGCACGCCTGTAGTTCCCACTACTTGGAAGGCTGAGACAGGAGGATCGCCGGAGTCCAGCAGGTCGAGGCTACGGTGGCCGGGAGCGGCCACTGCACTCCAGTCTGGGCGACAGAGTGAGACTCCAATTCAAAAAAAAATTGTTTTGCCATCCAAAAGAAATGTGAATCTAACCTTGCAGTTTCCAAAATCAAGCTGCTTGTTCTTAAAGTTATACAGTATGTTGCTTTCACTAAACACGAATTACAAAATTTAAAATGAACATTATTTCAAATTTTGACAAGTAGTAGAACATGTTATAAAAAATTAACATAAAATGTTCTCCCAAAATGAAATGATGCTATGTTCTATTTTTCCTCAGTAATTTTGTGTTTATACTTTTAAAAATCCAAGCAGGCTGTGCATTGGTGTGAGGTGTATCTCCCAGAGAATAGCTTGTTGCAATGGAGATGTTAATAATACCCTGCTCTGAATTGGTAATAAGAGAGGGCATTTTAAAAGGCCTGACCTAAGTTCGATCAAAGTAAATGACTCCAAGATAGCCATTTTTTCATTTTCATTTTGTACCTTCTTCAGGTGACTGAGCTTCTTTATAAACTTACGTTGCCCCTCCCATTTGGCCTGATCTTTAACCAAAGTGGTAAAACAAGGAGAAAGAGAATGGAGGAATGCAGCTGGCTATGAAGCCTTGAGCAGAGACAGATGCAACCAATTCAGTGTGGGAGGAAAAAATGCACAGAGAGCTCAGCACACGTGATGAAATTCCAACTTACCTAATTGTCAATGATGGATCTTGGTAGAAGAAAACTGACTTTCCTAACAGTGATTCATCTAATGAGGGAGGGAAGGTGGAAACTTGTACCACACTTGAAAAGATTCCCAAAAGGAGAGAGTTGACTCGCCTGTCACTCACAGGATTGTGACCGGGGGAGACATTGCCAGCCTTCCATCCAGCAGCATATTATTAAACTCCAGTTTTCACGAGGCAACAGGCCAGTACCCATGTAGAAAAGGGAATGACCACTGTCCTTTCCCTCAAGGAGCTTATGATTCAATATAACCAATAACAGAGCTATTCAGAGACTCTGTGGCTGCTTCTCTGTCACACTCCAACCCACACTGTAATCACCATTCCCTAATCACCTGACAGTTATTCCAGTGCCATAGAGTTCTGATCATGGCAGTCCTTGGCCAAGAGGCTTCATATGAAAATGTAAAAATTTCACGAAAGATCTGAAGAACAGACTCTTGCATTTTAAATAAAATAAATTAAAGTAGAAACACATGATTGGGGAGATACAAGGTTTTTCATTTGAAAATGTGATCCTCTGATAGTTTAATGCTATTGCAATGTGGTCCTTTTTTATGGTCTTAAGAAATGCAGACTCATTCTTGTGAATAAGATAACAGAGATTAGTCAAGCATGGTGGTGTACGACTGTAGTCCTGGTCCTGCCTACTTCAGGAGGCTGTGGCAGGAGGATTACTTGAGCCCAGAAATTTGAGGCTGCAGCTAGCTATGATTGCACCACTATACCCTAACATAGGTGACAGTGGGAGATTCTGTCTCTTAAAAAAAATAAAGTTCAAATACCAGAAATTCACTAATCGACAATGAACTAGTTTTAAAACATTGCTTACAATGTCTAAAACATATTTTTCACTTTCTTTATAATCTAGTATGGTTTAGTCTAAGCCCAAACCATACACAGAATTTTATGCCAGTTTTTAATATGAGTTGTTCAATCCTGATTCTAGTTAGAAATCTTGGCAATTCCTGCAACCATCAATCACCCATAGTACATAATGTTTACAAAACTATTTTTCTGATTATTTTATACTTTATTCTCTTTCTCTATATGATATATGCACATTCATGGATATGGATATTCATATAAAAATCATTCTGTAGATATGATTATCGAGTAATGTTTTCTCTAGAAATTATATTTGATCACATAATTTCTGGTATTTAATTTGGCACTTTGAAAAACACAGGCCATTCCTGATTTTAATGTATGTTATACTTACAAATGATGTCCTTCCCTCCACCACTGCCATGAAAACCAATATAAGAATAAATGAATTAGTATAGAGCATATGTATTCCTAAGTAAGAAAACGTGGAAAGGAAAAAAAATGTGTGGCAAACAAAAACTTCTAAGGGAAGCTAGTCCTTAGAGAAAGACTCTCCCAGTAATGAATTTCTTGTTCTGATCTTCTACCAGCTGACAATTAAGTGTAGTTAATAATAAATATTTTATATTCAAAATGCTAATCTAATCTTACCTCCTGAAACCAGGCCACTGGAGTGAAATAGCAGACGGGATAAAGAGGCCAGAGCAAAGAAGGAGAATGATGGGGTAGAAAGAACCTTAAGAAGGGAGAGAGATAAGCCAAAGGCAGTCTTCATCGAATCCACAATTTTGCATTCAACTGTCCCTTCTAGAAGACACTTAAAGGAGACGCAGCTTTCATTTTCCTTCTTTTTCTGGCACCAAGTCCTTCTCCTCCCAGCCCACCCCATTCAAGAACTGCAATATAGGCTAATATAATTTACCTGCACATGTTAAGAAGGCTTAAGGGGAGCTAACCCAGGGACCCAAAAACCCTCAGAGTAGCCATTCAATGAAAAATCTTGCTCTGGTTTCAAAATAATTTAAACATTGCTACTTTCTAGAGCACCTGCTCTGGAAAATACTGTTTCACAAAGATAGATAAGATGTGACTTCTGCTCTCAAGGGGTTCACAGTGCAAAAATCAACCCCCACGTGTGGTTTTGTGACAATCACTTTATAAATGGAGGTGGGAGAGATCAGGTATAGATACTCAAACCTAGATTATCTGCAACTAAGTGAAGCAAACACCTCAATTAACCATAATCTACCTTTCACCCCACACCCAAACACATCTTTTAGTAGGAAGTATTAAATTATGCTCAAGTCAGATTTAATTCAAGAAATATATAATATTCTAAGGTTATGACAAATGCATATATGACTTATTAAATGGAACAATTAACCCATGCCATAGTAAGATATTTTAACGCTGGTACAAGATTTAAATTGTATTCACAAACCACATAAACAAAAAGAAAAACTCTTATTTCAGAATTTTTTCCAAAACTAATAGTACAAAAAATAGGTTTTAGTTTAACCAGAAACCTCATTGTCTGAGTCTTCTGTTATACATACTTTTAACTGCACAAGCCATGAAGTCAGACTATTGCAAAAATGCTGCTTAAGTTATTGCCTAGTTATGCAGGTAGATGTGTGAAGCTCTCTGTGCCTTGATTTCCTTGTTTATAAAATGTGCATGATAATAGTAAACATGTACAATGCTTTAACAGTGCTCAAAGTTAGCTATCATTATCACCATTGCCATTAATGCATTTCCTAGTCGTGTAGATAGGTCTATGAAATGAATCCCCTCCTGAACAAATAAATGCATGCCATATTGTTCCACTCACCACTTTCTAGAAGTGAGGTATTAGGCAACACAGCCAGACAACATGACTGCGTCAGCCTTAGACATGTCCAAAGGAATGCAACAAGTCTGTTTTTGATTGTTTCTAAAAGCAAAAGGAAATTCTAAAACACCAACCAACCACAAAAACAATGACAAAAGATCCTTGGAGTTGCTGGTTCCCATCCCTCTAATGACAATGACCTCAAAGCTGTCTTTTATTTGTTGGTAAGAATTTGGGGAATATATTATAGTCACTCCAACTTGTCCTTGAAGTATATTAACACGATAGACGCAAGATAGATGAAAATTGCTTCTGATGGTATTATTTAAAGGATTCAGAAGGAAAATATCAGCATGGACGTATAACTTAATACGATTTACATACTTGTCTTATGAGGACACTCCTCTATATAAGGTGGTCCTATGTGACACTGTTTCACTAGGCCTTGAATGAAAGCAGATAAAGGAGTCCATTTAATGATAGATCCTGGAGGCATACTTGTATAGCATAAAGTCAGATCCCATGCACTGAATAAAAGGCATGCAAGAAATTAAATCAGTCCTATCCAGTTTTTATTTGTCTGTCTGTCAACCTGCAGCCACTTCCTTAATTTTGAAAGAAAAAAAAAAAAGAAGAAAAAGCAGCTTCTGGATTTCGAATGACCTCCATATTCATGTGGGGAAAATTTTAAGTGTTCGAGAAACCCAACCAAGGCCAATAGTTTTGGGTTCACAGTAATTGCATACATCTTATTTAAAAATTCTCCCTAGCAGTATGCGCCTGTTACCTAAAGCGATGGAGCAGGCCCCAGTTTTATGTCTTAGTCTAAACCTGGGTCTTCGGTACGAGACATAGCACCTACTGTGGCCTCTGCTCTGTCACTTTGCCATGCGATTCTAATGTAGTTTGACTTGAATAACATAAAATAACATATATAATGTTATTTATGTTATTTTCCACGTGAAGAACTCCTGTAAACCTTGCCGTTTTGAAACTCAGTGAGGCAGGCGTCTTAGACAAGCTGAAAAACAAATGGTGGTACGATAAAGGTGAATGTGGACCCAAGGACTCTGGAAGCAAGGTCAGTCGCTGCAGTTCGGGGCCTCCTCTTGTGTTCACAAAGCAGTAAACGGGAGCAATTGTCAAAAATCACATGGAAACCATAAAAACCGAGCATTTCTCTGTACACTCAGCCACTGCCTAAATTAAAAGCTAACGTCATAAATCTCAGCCGCAGGGACTGTCTTTCCAGGAAATTGCAGACTGCTCCCCAATTTTAAGGCTTTTAAATAAACCTAAATTAACTGCCAAAATCTGTAAAATAATAAAATTCCTTATATTAGCCTGAAACTTACGTACCACTGATTTTAAAAAATAGTGTTTTTTGGTTAGGGTTTCATTTGTTTGTTTCGGAGGCAAAGACCATGAAATCGTTTTTCAAGAATTGATGAATTCTCGAAACAGGAAGGGGGACATTGACCAGTGGTGATCCAGAAAAAAAGGAGATTCTAAATAGTAAAATAATGCTTATTCAGATGCTGTCTTTTGTCACCATATTGCCAAGCATTCCACTTTAGTTTGAAGAGGCTCTGTTCTGTTTTTGAGCTGACAGATAAACAGACTGAATCTTTCAATTCTATTTCCCCCATTGAAATAATTCTAATGAGTCAATGTTTAGAAATGATATCCTCAAGTTCTAAGATCTCTTCATCATAAGTTCTTTTTTAAAACAATGCAGGAACCTATAGGCATAATTCTGTTGAGTGCAAATGAATGTTGTGTAAAAAGTTACATTTGTTTTCTAAAAAATAATAATAACAAGTTTATCAGTGAATCTAAATACCTTCACAAATTCTTTTCTTTTTTTAAAGTAAATATGCCTGAAAGTCATCGTTGAACATTCTTGGAATGCTTTTTTATTTTTTTCTGAATCTTCAAGAAAGAAAACAAATTATTGATTATTCCAAAATGTTACACAAGTGATTGTTTTAAATAGGAGAGTTTCAATGAATTTGAGAAAGAGACAAAGCAAGGTTATTGGATTCCTTTTCAGGCCTTCTTCCTATATTATACTCACTTCTGTCTGCCTCTGAACCAGAGTGGAATGAAACAAGCTTGGCCAGATAATGAAATAGTTATCTACAGTTCTGATGTAAAGTCAGAGAAGCATAAATACTTAATGAGTGACTATTTTAAAAATAAAGTTACCCTAAAATATTTGGCCCAGTAAGGTGATGTCATGACTTCATTGACATTGTATATAGTGCATCTTTTGAATTAAACATTCGCCTAATAAAATTATTTAAGGGTCTGAATTGCATTTTGCATAAAACATACTGCTGAGAAGAAGAATGCCACAGGGCACTCTTCTGGCAGTCTACCAAAATGCTTCTTGAAATAAAGGTATATAGTAAACATATTTTCAGTTTATAAAAAAATTGAATTATTAAAATTTTAATATCTTCCAATCATATGGAGTTAAAATTTTAATATCTTCCAATCATTCTGGATTTATTATGAGATAATATGTATAATAAAGCTCTGTAGAATCTAAACTATTAATTTATTAAACACTTTTAAGCGAGAATGAAACTATCTTTAAATCAATAAAAATAATTATGTGTCCCAATATAAATTATTATATTAATTGACTACAATAGCTTATGCATTTTTAAAAGTTATCTTTAAAAAAGTTACCTAAGTATTATGCATATATAATTATTTCTAAATACTATATAATATGCAAAAGTGACATTTTCATAAGATTTTCCCTTATAAATATAATTGAAGGAGCAAATCTGTACCTTAGCATATTATTTGTATATATTTGGTAAAATAATGATGAAAAAGATCTGAGACTATTTGATTAAGACCCGTAGTTCCTCAAGTAGGAAATATTGAGTTCTGTTTATTCAAAAGAGATTGCAAATATTAAAAGTTAACAGAAACAAAAGCCAAAAGAGGTCCCCTTTCTTAAGTAATTTGATTTTAAAAATGTCATTTTCAAAGTCGACAATAATAAACCCACTTCTGCCACCCTATGTAAATATAAAAATGCTTATTACATATGGCTAAGTATAGTGGTTTTCATTGCACATTTAACAATGACAGAATGTTACTGATTTTATTGAATGTAAATGCATACAATGTATTGTCAATCATTGTAGTTTCACTTCTCCCAAGACCTATAAGCTTTATGCTTAAATCCATAAATCTATGTCAGTGATGTATACATAATTTCAGGTTAAATTAAGCATTTACTTTGATTGGCTTTTTGGGTTTCATGTGTTTGTTTACCTTTTGGATGTGACGTTTCCACAGTTAACTGAAGTGTCTTTATCTCCCCCAGGACAAGACGAGTGCCTTGAGCCTGAGTAATGTCGCAGGCGTCTTCTACATTCTGGTTGGCGGCTTGGGCTTGGCAATGCTGGTGGCTTTGATAGAGTTCTGTTACAAGTCCAGGGCAGAGGCGAAGAGAATGAAGGTGGCAAAGAGTGCACAGACTTTTAACCCAACTTCCTCGCAGAATACCCAGAATTTAGCAACCTATAGAGAAGGTTACAACGTATATGGAACCGAAAGTATTAAAATTTAGGGGTAGGACTTAGGGCCTACTACAGTGAGTGGGGGATGCATCCTGTGAACGCAGTGTCGTGACCTGTCTGTCCAGTGGTGGTATTGCTTGCTTCTAATTAGAGCTTTATATTTTTGAAAACCAGTGCAAACTGGTTCGGTTTTCTTTGGCTGCAGATGTACTGTTTGAAACTTTATGTTGCCAATAGATATCTGCATTGCGAAGGTCAGAAAGATAAAAAAAACAAACTAGAATTGCTCTGCAAAATGATTTAAACAGTGTATTTTATATGAAAATTGGGGGAAAAATTGGAAATTAGATCTGGGCTTCCTTGCATACAGACCAGGCAAATCTTTTCCGTAAAAATCCAATTTTAGGATAGGTGCTAACCAAATAAGCTCAAAATCTGTTTTAAATGATCAAAACCTAGACAGTTGGCTATTTTTGCTAAGGCCAATTTGTTTTCTGACAAAAAATAATACATGTAAAAGCTCTAAGGCACATAGTATGTGCTCAATGAATCTTGGCTCTTATTCTAATGTGTTTCGTATTAGCCATTGTTCTATATTTTTAAGGCATGAAACCTTACTGCTTGTTCACCTTACATTAGCCCTTCAGCCAGACCTTGAGGGAAGAGTGATTGCCAGATTTTTACTACAATTCACAATTGTTAGATGAAATTCAACTTTTATTATGCTCACGATATCACTAAAGTAAATAGGCATTTTAGGCAATACGGCAGTTTCTCCATGAAATCTGTCAGCAATATTTGAGTCCTATAGGAAGGATGCAGGAAGAGATAAAAATTGCAGTGAGTTATTATGAACTTATTTTTTATTTCAATTGCTTTTAAGCAAGTCAAAGCAACCTCACTTACATCATCTTATAGTGTCACAATAAAAAATTGCTAGCATTCAGTGAAGTACAGGAGATGGATATCATTTTTTAAAAATCTAAATGTCCACTTCTTCTTTCCTCTAATGATAGAAAGTGGTTTTACAATAAGATCTGAAAGAAGTTGTTATTACTCCTCCTAAAATTAGATCTCTAAAACCCATTTTCTAAAGTTATATTTAATAACCAACTGAATAGGCTGCTCAGTGTGATTACAATGACAAATAAGTCTTTGAACCTACAAGAGATACCCGGTGCTTGATGTACCCTGGAATCAAAAACCCAATATAATTTTAATAAGATGCACATCCGAGGTTATGCCAGGTAAACATGCTTGATTTTGATATTTATTTATATAAAAACTATTGAAGTATCTGTCAGTATCTTAAAACAAAGAACAAAAGCCATCCCTTTCTTATCAAGATCTAATTGCTTTTATCCATGATCTAGAAATCAATGACGTAGTACGACGGCACACAGATCATCCCAAAATGGTCCTTTCCTAATTTTGTGAAAAAGAATTAAGAGCTAAATCCTCAATTCACTCAGATCAAAACATCTTGCACATGGCTTCCAGTAGCAAAATAACAACCTGGGATAATGTCAAGGTGTGTTGGCCATTAAGGGAGTGCTGTCAAAATTTTAATGCTTACAGAGTGAGAGTGAGATTTTCCTGAACTGAGAAAAACTATGCTTGATCAGGTTTCAGAGCAAATTATTTGGGTTGCATTCTGAGATGATTTTGTATATCTTTGAAAGGTTTTGTTACAGGTTGATTAAAACTGACTTTTCTTTGGCATGACAAAGACACTCTGGCCATCAGCGAGGCCCAAGGGTAAAGAAGCAAAGCAAAGAAAAAGAGTATTAGAAAATTTTAGGAAAAAGGACTCATGTATGCTAGTTAATTACAAAGTTCTGGGAAGTTCTTAAAAAGAGATATAAGTTCCCCAGTTATTTATGTATAGTTTACATGTAAATTTTTTATTCAGGGTCAGAACCTGGCATTAAATTGCCCTTAGAGGGAGATTTGAACTTTTAAGAAAATAACTTTCAAATAAAAAGGAAGTATTTGGATCTATGTGACATTTTAAAAGACAATGACTTTCAGGATCAATGAAATGACCTGTGCTTGTTGAGAAAGTGTAATTTTACCCTCAAAGGAAAAATTTCATCGACCTCTATTGATTCATTGACCACAATTATGCAAATGATTGAGAATTCAGGTGATATTGTCCCAGAATCCTAAAAAACAAAACCTGAAACCTTCAATCCATTTGAATATCTGTTTTAAGTTACACAACAGCTGAATTTCAGCACACCGATGAGGAAGGTCAAATTGAAACAAATATCTAGTTAAAAGTGATCATCCCAAAGGCAACATATATGAGGGGGACTTCCAAAAAACAGAATTGATTTATAAAAACTGTGTATCTAGTCTCACAAGTTTAAACTTCAGTCACCTTCAAAGTACTCTTCATCTGATGCAATATGCCTATCAAGGTGCTTTTTCCACTGCTGAAAACAATTTATGAACTCACCAATTTTAATGCTTTTTCATCCTTCTGCTATTTTTTGTCTTACCTCTTCCACATTGGCAGAATGCTTTCCTTTGAGGACTTTTTTTATTCTGAGAAACAAACAAAAAGTCTCTCGGAAAGAGATTGGGTTAATAGGGAGGGCGGATGGGGGTCATGAATTTTGGTCAAAAACTGTCAGAGCGTGGTGTGGGCAGGTTGTTTATGTAAATCATCTATCATGAAATGGGCAAGCTCATTGAAAGAATTTACCCCTCAAAAAAAAAAAAAAATTCACTGAAGGTGAACGTAGCCTCTCACCACTACACTAGCTGGTACACTGGTGTCAATGGATTCCTAGAACACATACCTAGCAAGGGAAGCCTGTACTTCAAGGGAACCGCCCTCCAAAAGATAATTCTGGTTTTTTGGGGTCTCCTCTCATACACAAACCCAAAACATGGGCACTCTAATGTTGAGTATGAAAATATTTGTCTCTAATAACATAATCTCTCAAGAGTCTCCTTCAAAGAGCAAGACTCTTGCAACCATATCAACCTTTTAGTCCCCCAGTGGGACTCTTAGGAAAGAAGTTCTTGATAAGGAATTCTTTCAAATGTTTGAATTGAATTGAATGGTTTCAATTTGACCTTCCTCATCGGTGTGCTGAAATTCAGCTGTTGTGTAACTTAAAACAGTGTGCAATGTACTCATTTAGAATGTTTTAAGCTACAATTTACATACAGTACAATTCACCTTTTTTGGTGTGCATTCTGCAGGTTTTGATAAGGCTTTATTTGGAATTTTATACCATCATTTTTATTTATAAACTAGAAAAAAGATAATATTTACACATGTGGACATTCTTACATTCAACAAACATTTACTGAGTGCCTACTATGTACCAAATAAAAGTCAGAAAAACTTTGATTTCAAGAGATTGATAGAAGATAATCAAGTAGAAATGTTTTCCCCTAAAATCCTCGTTATATTTTCATGATTTTTAAACATAAAAGCCAAGAATATTTCTGTAAAAACTGATCCTTGAACTCTGAATATGACAATAAGTACTGATTTTTGAGACTTCACTAAAAACAAAACTATGAGATTCACCTTGGTTTTGCCATACATATGTCATTCCTGGCAATTTGACTTCAATTTTCTGAAGTTAACAGGGTAGCTGATCTCTCAACATTTTTACTCTAACAGTGTTTAATCCAGTCATTAATTTAATTATTTATAAATAATTATTCTAATAGTTAAGATTAAAATAATTGATTTTTAACCATTTTTACCCTAACAGTTTTTCATCCAGTTGTGAATTTTATTATTTATATATAATTATTCTAATATTTAAGTTCCGGGGCAGAATAAATTCAGTGATGAAATCTCCTAAAGGACTTGATCATCTTAAATTCCCAACAGGGAATTAAGACACATTATGAGTTGTGAGAGAATTATGAACTAAGTCAAAATACACTTAGGGAAGCTCTCCTTTACTTTATTTTCCTCTTGAGCTAACATTAGAATTCAGCTCCTAGAAAGCGTGTAAAGGAAACGAATGAACGGTCAACAGATTCACATAATAATACTGTTTGTTTCTTTTCTATGTAATATTATCTGCTATCTAATGTGACAAGGAACAGGAATTTAATGAGAATTTCAGAGACCTGACCCCGTAATCTCAATATGGAAAGTTCCTTGGTGATGACCTTTCAGTCGGCTTTGAAACACGCCCACTTTCATTGCAGTTCTTAAAATATGAACCATAGCTTCCACGATAGGCATAAGTCAACTAACTATATGTCACTAACTGTGTTGTTCTGGGTCATGTCTATAACCGGTGTGAATGAATGAAAGTGTCTGGGGGAGGGTCTGTGTTATGAAAACAGGAAGACAGATGGAGTTTGTTTAGGCAGTTTATCACAGTTGCAAGTGTCTAATCCTTGCACTGTATAGAAAGCATTTCCAAATAACAAGAAACAGGATTTAAAGAATTTTGTCAAACATGCAGGAGCTTGTAAGCTCGTCCAGAAGTGCCATAGTGCAGCAAGTTAAAAGGTGCTTCCCTCCCCAATTCGCTAAACATCAACGGACTCTTATGAGTTAGAATTATTTCTTGAACGGGTTAGGACCACAAACTCTAGCCTGATGCATTCCTCAGTGTAGCTGAGATTTCCTTGCCCTCTCAGAAGTTTTGATATGACCAGAAAGTATATATACATATATACACATATGGAAAAAAAAAAAAATGCAGATGTCTACTTATGGATATTTCGGTGTTTGTGGTGTCCTGCGGTGTCGAAGAAAGCAGAAATATGGTAACACTCCGTCTCCCTTCTGTTTCCTTTCCACGCAACCCAGCTGACCTTTTCTGAAGCCATAAGAAACAAAGCCAGGTTATCCATCACGGGGAGCGTGGGAGAGAACGGCCGCGTCTTGACGCCCGACTGCCCCAAGGCTGTCCACGCGGGAACTGCCATCAGACAAAGTTCAGGATTGGCTGTCATTGCATCGGACCTGCCGTGAAAACCAAAAAAATAATCGAGTGCCTTAATCAAACTGTGTTGGGGACGGATGGGGACGCGCGCGCGCGCGCACGCGGGTCTTGGCTGAACCCACCCTTGGGCTGAGCGCGGGGAGTCCCACCTGAGGCCCGGCCCGACATCTCAGCAGCAGCAACGCGTGCATGAGCTCAGCTCGGAAACCCAAACTCAGATTTTATATCAGGAAAACTCACACGTTAGGGGTTTTTTGTTGGTGGTGGTGGTGGTGTTGGTTTGTTTGGCTTTTCCTGTCTGTTTGTTTGTTTGTTTCGGGGAGTGGGCGGGGGGCGGGGAGCTGGGATGGATGTATTAACAGCAACCAATTTCGCTCGAGTGGACTCAAAAACTAATCGGACTTGCGAGCTAGCGCATCCAACTGTGAATTTCTTGCTCGGAAAGGCCTTGGTCTTCACCGAGAGAGGATAAGATCGTTGCAGAGGTCGAGGCACGTGCTAACCTGTGTCTCCAACACCCACGTAGACAATGGAAGAATATCCAGCTGAGAAAACGTCACTAAACTGTGAGAAGAAAAGAATACACAAACATGTAAATCCTGTGGGGGGAAAAAAATTTAAAGGAAGTATTTACACTTACTTTGGAGAAAACAAATACTGAAACATGCTTGCTTTTTAACCGACGTAAATTCAGTAGAGGACAACACAATTCTTTTTTCTAACCATCTTAGGGAACAATACATTGCAATAATTGATATAAATGCCATCACTGTAATAAACTTTAGAAATTTTTTTTTTATAAAAGTTGTTGGTCATCTTCTTGTTTCCTGTAATCTTCACTCTGTCACACGAGACGGTTCACAGATTGCATTTGTCTCACTACCAGGAGGGAAAACAAAAGGAAGAAAATGTTAACGTTAAATCATCGGTCTGCAATGTAGACTCAAAAGAGACTACGGGTCACTCACGTTATCGATATTATTTATAATCTTGTTCTGTGTACAAAATTGTGGTTTTTGTACCCACCAAAAAAAAAAAAAAAAAAAAAGAATAAAACAACAGATGTTCTTACAATATCTACAGAGCTTAAAAGTTTTTTTTCCTCATAATTATAAAAGTTATTTGAGAAACTATGAGTCTATACAAGGGATTATAAAAGTCGAGTGGTGGGCCATATTGGAAATTGTAGCTAGCCCTTATTAATTTTGCATACCGAGCTACCCCTTTTTTTCAGATCTTTGACTTGTTAGCAAATTAAACTGTCAAAGATAGAGTCTTTGAGTTGGGGAATGAATCATTGTCCTAACAGCAACATACCCTGTAATTGTGTGTTGAAATTTTACTTGACTGTATTTTGCTGCATAAAATTATGTGTGTCTCTTAGGCATCTCCCCTCATTCCTCTTGTTCCATTTAAGTCGTTTGAAGGCACTTATAATCACTTGAAATAGACAGCAAATGAAGAATTCGTCCTTGTTTTCAACTGGAAATTTCAAAGAAAATTATATCCATGTTTATTTATAAGAATTATCGTAGGTATGGATTAAACTCACATAGTTCAGTGGTTCATTGAAATAACAAATAAGTACTCTAATACAGATAAAAATCACTTAGCTAGGGATCTTGGCAGAAAGCACAAGTTGGTTGATTTCAAATGTCTGGACTTGAAATGTTAGTTGAGTTTTAATAGGCAGAGAAGGTGTTAAGAAGCCCTGTGGGTATGCAGTGGCCCAAAGCCATGCATATCAATGGCTTCTTTAAGGAATGTATACAATTAGATAGACTGGTGAAAGCACAGGGTGTGATATTATGGAAGATAAAGTTGGAAGAGGTGAAGGATGGATCTCCTTCCCTCGACTCTCAAGATCCCATTTCCTGCTTAATCTCTGCTGCAGCAAGAGCAATCTTAAAAAGTATAAACCACACACACACACACACACACACACACACACACACGACATCACACACACACACACACGTGTGTGCACACAGTTCCCTCAGGAAAAAGCCCAAGCTCTTGAGCAGGGGAAATGAGTTTCTTCACAACCTGGCCCTTGCTTATCTCTTCTAGGATTCATCTCACTCCTCACTCCTATCCAATTTCTCCCACCAGCCAGTTAACCTCTAAAGCAGCACATGGTACATTGCATATACCTGTGTTCTCAGTCAATCACTTCCCTGTCTCTTCTTTACCTGGCAAACTTGTACTCATCCTTCCACCAAAATCAAATTGTACTTGCCCTGAAAAGATTCCATGTCTGTCCACCAGCCCTTCCTTGCCTATGAGACTGAGTTAGGTGCCCTTCTTAAGGTCTTTTCCCCATCACAGCACTTACCATCCTGCATTGTAATTGCCTGTGTACTTGTCTGTATAACTACTAGACTGTAAGCTCCTTGAGGGCAGGGACTGTGTGTATCTTTTTCACAGTTGTATCCCCAGCACCCAGCACAGTGCCTGGCATATTGTAGGTGCTTAATAAATATTTGTTGAATGAATGAATGAGTGAATTGAATTGAATTAATTTAATTCAGTGAAAGCGGAAAGACATCTTTCCTTATTAAAAGTCGTTAAAGTATGTGTCAAGTAGATGTGGTTCCCTGACTTAGCGATAGTCTGACTTATTATTATTCTACTTTACAATGATGTGAAAGTGATACACATTAAGTACAGTACTCAATAAGTTACATGAAATATTCAGCACTTTGTTATAAAGTAGCCTTTTTTAAAAATTATTTTGTCCCCACTGTAGGCTAATATACTTGTTCTGAACATGTTTAAGGGAGGTTAGGCTAAGCCGTGATGTTCAGTCGGTTAGATGTAGTAAATGAATTTTCAACTTACACTATTTTCAACTTAAGATGGATTTAATAGGGCTTACCCTCGTTGTAAGTTGAGAAGCATCTGTATGTGGTGAGTCAAATTGAAGACTGAAGGTTGGCTGATTCCATGACATTGTCTACGTCACTGGAAACTGTGGCTAAAAAAAAGCAAAAAAAAAAGATTATCTGATAAGTTTTCTGATTAAACATGACTGTATTTCATGTAATTGTACCTCACTATGGAATAACTTGTTTGGCTAGAGCGTTTTTGGTAAGAAAACTAAGGTATCTTTCATTTAATGTTCCAAGTGGATTTGTGATATAAAGTTGGAAAGTTACATTCCTTATAGTAAGGAATAATTTTACCAAAAGCAACATTTTAAGCTTGGCATCAGTGAAAGGGGATATTTCTCTGGATTCCTGTCTGATGACATGTCGTAAAATTGTGAAATGTGGTTTTAAAACATCTATGTTTAAGTTAAAAACATTTACATTAAAACATTTGGTTTCTCAAAGTAAAGATCTCAGTTGCCAAATGAGATAACCATCTAGTGATCCTGAATGTATCAGACAAAGTCAACAATGAAGTTACATCAGCTAGTTAAAACATATACAATGACCACATCTGAAAGATCTAAAGAGCCCTCAAGAGAAAGCACTTTGCTACACGCAGTTCAGTAACTGCTCAATGAAAACACACTTGCTTCAGGCACTGCATGTTAGTTAGTTGCAAGCTCCCTGGTCTCCCCACCTGTAGACTATCAGTGCATTCTATATTTCCCTAAGGAATAGCACATAGTAGATTGTTCTGTATGCATTTGTCAATGCATAAACAGCTTCATATATTAAGTCAGTACACGTGAAAAAAAAATTTAGATAATTTCCCCAGAAAACAGAATGTTATAATTTGCAGCATCAGCGAAGTGTTAATAAGAATAAGAACTAAATGAAAAGTGACATACCAGAGAGCTTATGAAAAGACAGAATAAAATTGGGCAGATTCACCGGCCATATATTTATAAATATGAGGCTACATAGAGTGTGGGCCTTTTCAAACACATTCATAAGAGGGTTTTCATTTCACATACTTCAAGAGGCTAAAGTACTTAGACTTATAAAACCAAATGAAGAGGCAATGGTGGCACATTAAATTTTTTATTTTTTATTTTTTTGAGTTGGAGTCTCACTCTGTCACTCAGACTGGAGTGCAGTGGCCGCTCCTGGTCACTGCAGCCTCGACCTGCTGGGCTCCGGCAATCCTTCTGCCTCAGCCTTCCAAGAAGCTGGAACTACAGGCACGCGCTACCACGCCCGGCTAATTTTTGATTTATTGTAGAGATGAGGTCTCTCCAAGTTGCCCAGGCAGGTCCCAAACCCGCGGGCTCAGGCAATCCACTCACCTCAGCCTCCCAAAGCGCAGGATTACAGGCTGAGCCACCGAGCCCGGCTTATTAAATATTTTCTAAGTAGCTAGTAGTAGTAGTCTTAACAAAAGAGAACTTTCCTTCTCTAAGAAAATATTTGGATAAATTATAAAGACCAAGAAATGAGAATTGGAAATTGCATCTCAAATAACAACAGAAAACTAAATTTATTTCCATAAAATGAGAAAAACGTATTTGTTTGTTTATCTTGCTTTGATTTTATTTTCTTTGGTTGAAGGGATAGACAAAGGAAAGAAAAAATAAAAGAAAAAAGAAGAGACATTAAGAAAGCAGAAAATTAGGTAAAATGCCATTAGGATTTCCAGATGGCCGAAAGGACTCACAGAACAGAAATGTTTGGCATACGGTTTTTACAGTGTTAGGTGTGTAATGTTTGACATATTATTCTTTCCATAACCTGCATACCTCCAGTTTAAATTATCCTACATGCCACAAACTGGTATTGGCGTTTGCTTTGAAGAAGAGGATCAAGAAGAGTCCCCTAATTCAGTTGATGCTAGGTCAGAAATAATCCTAATAACATGGCTCCTTTCCACAGAAGTATGCAGAAATCTAGTTTGGAAATTGTTCTTCTACATGGCAAAGAACAAGGTTTGTTCAATATTTTTTCTGGATCTTAAGAAGATGGGTAGGTGGAGCAATCTTCCAGACTGCACAAATAATACCTGTTTTTTATTTTATTTTAAAGATATGGGGTACAATTCAGGGTTAGGTATACAAATGTTCATTATGCAGGTACTCTTGTTGATAGAAGTGTGGCCTCTCTCTCCCCTGGCAGATTCCCATTACTGCCAATCCCACCACCAACCTCTCCCACCCCCACCCCGGGCAGTTTCCCACTACTGCCAACCCTTTTTATAATAATAATAATAATGTGTGTTTTTTAAGTACCTGTGCTGACTAGAAAGTGTCATGAACAACAGAGTAAGCATAAAACACAGAGATCATTAAAGAAATATTGTTAAATTACAACGCTT